GGTTTTCTGTTCTTGCGATAGTTTGCTGAGAATGATGGTTTCCAGCTGTGTCCATGTCCCTACAAAGGACATGAACTCATCCTTTTTCATGGCTTCATAGTATTCCATGGTGTATATGTGCCACATTTTCTTAATCCAGTCTGTCACTGATGAACATTTGGGTTGATTCCGAGTCTTTGCTATTGTGAATAGTGCCACAATAAACATATGTGTGCATGTGTCTTTATAGCAGCATGATTTATAATCCTTTGGCTATATCCCCAGTAATGGGATGGCTGGGTCAAATGGTATTTCTAGTTCTAGATCCTTGAGGAATCGCCACACTGTTTTCCACAATGGTTGAACTAGTTTACAGTCCCACCAACAGTGTAAAAGTGTTCCTATTTCCCCACATCCTCTCCAGCACCTGTTGTTTCCTGATTTTTTTAATGATTGCCATTCTAACTGGTATAAGATGGTGTCTCATTGTGGTTTTGATTTGCATTTCTCTGATGGCCAGTGATGATGAGCATTTTTTCATGTGTCTGTTGACTGTATGAATGTCTTCTTTTGAGAAGTGTCTGTTCATATCCTTTGCCCACTTTTTGATGGGGTTGTTTGTTTTTTTCTTGTAAATTTGATTGAATTCTTTATAGGTTCTGGATATTAGCCCTTTGTCAGATGAGTAGATTGCAAAAATTTCTCCCATTCTGTAGGTTGCCTGTTCACTCTGATGGTAGTTTCTTTTGCTGTGCAGAAGCTCTTTAGTTTAATGAGATCCCATTTGTCAATTTTGGCTTTTGTTGCCACTGCTTTTGGTGTTTTAGACATGAAGTCCTTGCCCAAGCCTATGTCCTGAATGGTATTCCCTAGGTTTTCTTCTAGGGTTTTTATGGTTTTAGGTCTAACATTTAAGTCTCTAATCCATCTTGAATTAATTTTCATATAAGGAGTAACGAAAAGATCCAGTTTCAGCTTTCTACTTATGGCTAGCCAATTTTCCCAGTAACATTTACTAAATAGGGAATCCTTTCCCCATTTCTTGTTTTTCTCAGGTTTGTCAAAGATCAGATGGCTGTAGATGTGTGGTATTATTTCTGAAGGCTCTGTTCTGTTCCATTGGTCTATATTTCTGTTTTGGTACGAGTACCATGCTGCTTTGGTTACTGTAGCCTTGTAGTATAGTTTGAAGTCAGGTAGTGTGATGCTTCCAGCTTTGTTCTTTTGGCTTAGGATTGTCTTGGCAATGTGGGGTCTTTTTTTGTTCCATATGAACTTTAAAGCAGTTTTTTCTAATTCTATGAAGAAAGTCATTGGTAGCTTAATGGGGATGGCATTGAATCTATAAATTACCTTGGGCAGGATGGCCATTTTCACAATATTGAGTCTTCCTATCCATGAGCATGGTATGTTCTTCCATTTGCTTGTGTCCTCTTTTATTTTTCTGCCCAGTGGTTTGTAGTTCTCCTTCCTTGAAGAGGTCCTTTACATCCCTTGTAAGTTGGATTCCTAGGCATCTTATTCTCTGTGAAGCTATTGTGAATGGGAGTTCATTCATGATTTGGCTGTTTGTCTGTTACTGGTGTATAAGAATGCTTGTGACTTTTGCACATTGATTTTGTATCCTGAGACTTTGCTGAAGTTGCTTATCAGCTTAAGGAGATTTTTGGGCTGAGACGATGGGGTTTTCTAAATATACAATCATGTCATCTGCAAACAGGGACAATTTGACTTCTTCTTTTCCTAACTGAATACCCCTTATTTCTTTCTCTTGCCTGATTGCCGTAGCCAGAACTTCCAACACTATGTTGAATAAGAGTGGTGAGAGGGGGCATCCCTGTCTCGTGCCAGTTTTCAAAGGGAATGCTTCCGGTTTTTGCCCATTCAGTATGATATTGGCTGTGGGTTTGTCATAAATAGCTCTTATTATTTTGAGATATATTCCATCAATACCAAATTTATTGAGAGTTTTTAGCATGAAGGGCTGTTGAATTTTATCAAAGGCCTTTTCTGCGTCTATTGAGATAATCATGTGGTTTTTGTCTTTGGTTTTTTTATATGCTGGATAACGTTTATTGATTTGCATATGTTGAACCAGCCTTGCATCCCAGGGATGAAGCCCACTTGATCATGGTGGATAAGCTTTTTGAAGTGCTGTTGGATTTGGTTTGCTAGTATTTTACTGAGGATTTTTACATCGATGTTCATCAGGGTTATTGGTCTAAAATTCTCTTTTTTTTGTAGTATCTCTGTCAGGCTTTGGTATCAGGATGATGTTGGCCTCATAAAATGAGTTAGGGAGGATTCCCTCTTTTTCTATTGATTGGAATAGTTTCAGAAGGAAAGGTACCAATTCCTCTTTGTACCTCTGGTAGAATTTGGCTGTGAATCTGTCTGGTCCTGGACATTTTTTGGTTGGTAGGCTATTAATTATTGCCTCAATTTCAGAGCCTGCTATTGATCTATTCAGGGATTCAACTTCTTCCTGGTTTAGTCTTGGGAGAGTGTAAGTGTCCAGGAAATTATCCATTTTTTCTAGGTTTTCTAGTTTATTTGCGTAGAGGTGTTTATAGTACTCTCTGATGGTAGTTTGTGTTTCTGTGGGATTGGTGGTGATATCCCCTTTATCATTTTTTATTGCATCTATTTGATTCTTCTCTCTTTTCTTCTTTATTAGCCTTGCTAGCAGTCTATCAATTCTGTTGATCTTTTCAAAAAACCAGCTCCTGGATTCATTGATTTTTTGGAGGATTTTTTGTGTCTCTATCTCCTTCAGTTCTGCTCTGATCTTAGTTATTTCTTGCCTTCTGCTAGCTTTTGAATGTGTTTGCTCTTGCTTCTCTAGTTCCTTTAATTGTGATGTTAGGGTGTCAATTTTAGAACTTTCCAGCTTTCTGTTGTGGGCATTTAGTGCTCTACACACTGCTTTAAATGTGTCCCAGAGACTCTGTTATGTTGTGTCTTTGTTCTCATTGGTTTCAAAGAACATCTTTATTTCTGCCTTCATTTCGTTATGCACCCAGTAATCATTCAGGAGCTGGTTGTTCAGTTTCCAGGTAGTTGAGTGGTTTTGATTGAGTTTCTTAATCCTGAGTTCTACTTTGATTGCACTGTGGTCTGAGAGAGAGTTTGTTATAATTTCTGTTCTTTTACATTTGCTGAGGAGTGCTTTACTTCCAACTATGTGGTCAATTTTGGAATAAGTGTGATGTGATGCTGAGAAGAATGTATATTCTGTTGATTTGGGGTGGTGAGTTCTGTAGATGTCTATTAGGTCAGCTTGGTGCAGAGTTGAGTTCAATTCCTGGATATCGTTGTTAACTTTCTGTCTCGTTGATCTGTCTAATGTTGACAGTGGGGTTTAAAGTCTCCCATTATTATTGTATGGGAGTCTAAATCTCTTTGTAAGTCTCTAAGGACTTGCTTTATGAATCTGGGTTTTCCTGTATTGGGTGCATATATATTTAGGATAGTTAGCTCTTCCTGATGAATTGATCCCTTTACCATTATGTAATGGCCTTCTTTGTCTCTTTTGATCTTTGATGGTTTAAAGTCTGTTTTATCAGAGACTAGGATTGCAACCCCCACCTTTTTTTTTTTTTTTCATTTGCTTGTTAGATTTGGTGTTTTCACATAATCCCATATTTCTTGGAGGCTTCGTTCATTTCTTTTTACTCTTTTTTCTCTAGATTTCTGTTCTCGCTTCATTTCATTCATTTGATCTTCAGTCGCTGATACTGTTTCTCCCAGTTGATCGAGTCGGTTACTGAAGCTTGTGCATTTGTCATGTGGTTCTTGTGTTGTGGTTTTCATCTCTATCAGTTCTTTTAAGGTCTTCTCTGCGTTGATTATTCTAGTTATCCATTCATCCATTCTTTTTCCAAGGATTTTAGTTTCTTTGTGCTGGTTACGTAGTTCCTCCTTTAGCTCTGAGTTTGATTGACTGAAGCCTTCTTCTTTCAACTCGTCAAAGTCATTCTTCATCCAGCTTTGTTCTGTTGCTTGTGATGAGCTGCGTTCCTTTGGAGGGGGAGGTGCACTCTGATTTTTGGAATTTGCAGCTTTTCTGCCCTGCTTTTCCCCTATCTTTGTGGTTTTATCTGCCTTTGATCTTTGATGATGGTGTCTTACCGATGGGGTTTTGGTGTGGGTGTTCTTTCTGTTTGTAAGTTTTCCTTCTAACAGGACCCTCAGCTGTAGGTCTGTTGGAGTTTGCTTGAGGTCCACTCCAGACCCTGTTTGCCTGGGTATCAGCAGCGGAGGCTGCAGAAGATAGAATATTGCTGAACAGCAAGTGTTGCTATCTGATTCTTGTTCTGGAAGCTTCGTCTCAGGGGTGTACCCCACCATGTGAGGTGTGAGGTGTTGGTCTGCACCTAGTGGGGGATGTCTCCCAGTTAGGCTACTCAGGGGTCAGGGACCCACTTGAGCATGCAGTCTGTCCGTTCTCAGATCTCACCCTCCATGCTGGGAGATCCACTGCTCTCTTCAAAGCTGTGAGACAGGGGCATTTACCTCTGCAGAGGTTTCTGCTGCTTTTTGTTTAGCAATGCCCTCTCCCCAGAGGAGGAGTCTACAGAGGCAAGCTGGTCTCCTTGAGCTGTGGTGGGCTCCACCCAATTTGAGCTTCCCAGAGGCTTTGTTTACCTACTTAAACCTCAGCAATGGTGGGCACCCCTCCCCCAGCCTCGCTACCACCTTGCAGTTAGATCTCAGACTGCTGTGCTAGCAATGAGGGAGGCTCCGTGGGCATGGGACCCTCTGGGCCAGGTGTGGGATATAATCTCCTGGTGTGCCGTTTGCTAAGACCCTTGGTAAAGCACAGTATTAGGGTGGGAGTTACCCGATTTTCCAGGTGTTGTGTGTCTCAATTTCCTTTGGCTAGGAAAAGGAATTCCCTTCCCCCTTGTGCTTCCCAGGTGATGTGATGCCTCGCACTGCTTCAGCTCTTGCTGGTGGGGCTGCACCTGTGGACCAGTGCCAACTGTCTGACACGCCCCGGTGAGATGAACCTAGTACCTCAGTTGAAAATGCAGAAATCACCTGTCTTCTGTGTCACTCATGCTGGAAGCTGGAGGCTGGAGCTGTTCCTATTCGGCCATCTTTTTGATAGACATTTTTAGGGGTCAGTATTTAGTCAAAGATTACATATGTTGTTTTAAAGAGTTTTCTCATTGAGTGGTTTGATCATGAAGTTGTTAATCATTTACTAAAAATATATGAAGAAATAAAAATTATTAAGTCATTTAGAATACCATATTATTAAGGTCACTTAGAATACCACGTTATTTTTAGTAGAAACTGATTTCTAGTAATTCCATAAATCATATTAAATTATAATTATACATTATAATCATCATCCACTATTAATTTACAGCTAGTTTAATGTGATATGTGTGATTAGAGCCCTAAACTGAGTTAAAGTTAATTATGTTATGTGGAATTGCAGTCTTTACAGGTGCTATGGGATAAAAAGCCTGGCCTGGCTGTTCTGTGCTACTAACTAAGAAAAAATGATAATGGCTTGGAGTCTAAATACTGTCATTTTTTTCAGGTAAAACAAGGAGAAAACGCCAATTGATTTCTATTTAAAAGTAAGTAGATGGTGACTGTTTCATGCTGAAAGGGGCTTGCTTAGTTTTAACTAATTATATTAATAAATCCTGTCAGATATATAAGCCTATCTCACTCTACCTTTTAAGTTTCCTTTAATTCCTATATTAGACAGAATTGGCAACATTAATGCTGGAGTAAGAAGCACCTCCAAAAATTTTAGAAACTTGACTTATGTTTTTTTGCTCACACTACCTGCCCAATGTAGGCCAGCAGGAAGCTCTGCTCATCTCTCAACCAGGCTCAGAGCAACTCCATTGCAACAAAGCTTCCATGATCATCTTAGCTGGAAGACGGAGTGAGCCTTACACTGGATCTTAGAGCTACTGCCTGGAATTGACACTTCTGTTACCATTTCAAGGAAAATACATAGCCGGGCCTAAGTTCAAAGTGGACAGGGGAATGCAGTTCTGTCATGTGCCTGGAAGGTAGAGAGCCAGAAGTATATGGTGAATAGGCACAGCTGCTCACTTTGTGAGGTCTTAGGCCTGGGTCGTTGCTGGCATGCCAGGCATGTGTGTCACCGGTAACAAAAGAAAAGAAAATGCCTAAGATTTATGATTTATGATAAACAGTGACCTCACTTTAATATACATCATTATCTTGTGAACAGTGTGGCTTTTTAAATAATGTAAGATGTGTTAGATAAGTCATTAGAGAAGTCATCTGGAGATAGTGACATTATCTTTCTTCATGTTAATAGGCAAAAAAATCTCAGTGCCACCAGGACAAGAACAGATTCACAGGCTGTTTCGAAATAGAAGTACACAGCTGAGCACAAGGTAGGCGCTGTAAGACTAATGAAAGAATCAAATCAGGTGTGTGAGTGATTTAACAAGTAGTTGAATTAGAGCCAGCTGCTTAGTCTGAGTTGGGTTAAGTCAGAGGAGGAGGGTTGATATTGGGTGATCAGAACAAAATGAGCTGGAGGACCAGCCACCTGTTTAGTCGGAGTAAGAATGCCTGCAGAGACCTGGACCGGAGTGGGCAGAAAGGAGGTAGGTCAGAGGCTGGTCTGGGATACTGGGACAGGCAAGTGTATAGTCAGCTTGTTGATACGGAGAGAAGGTAATATCTTAGCCTTTTCAAAATTTACTAGTTTATCAGAGGTAAGAATGTGTCTTTTTAGGTGCTGGAACTCTCCAAATTTGACTCAAAATGCAGAAATACTGCTTTAATGTGAATAAGAAAGTTCCTTGGAAGGTGAATAGGAATTGAATTCTTCAAATTCTTGTGGATGTGCTCACAGGAATGACATATGTTTAGATATCAAAATTAGATAAAATTGAGAGACTTAGTCAGTTGGGGGTGGGATTGAGGGAATACATTTATCTCACAGGAACAACATTTTATTAATGTTTGATTGGAACTATTGAAGTTGATCATGTTTTAAGCGGTGAGTGATAGACTGGATCAAAGTAATTATTACAATGTAAGACATTATGGCATCTACCTTTTCAAACTGAGAGTATTTTCTCCCTCTTTGGTTTATCTGATTACATAAAACAGTGAATAAGGAATTTCATTTTATATTCATATTATATAGTATTATATAAGAACACTGAGTAGGTAAGGTAGCTTATTTATTTTTTTTTAGCTATTAATGATTAAACCTGTGTAAAGGCTAATTTTCTCAAACCAGTTGAGAGTTAATTAACTGGTGGCAGAAGGAGAGGGTATCAGAACCAATTGGAGAACATTAGCTCTCCCTTAAGAACAATAGCACACCAATTTCACTTTTTAATAGTGACAGAAACAGTACCATTATTGCCCTTTTGCTATTTGTAAAGTGGAGGCTTTAAGGCTTTAATTCTTTTTTTTTAAATTATACTTTAAGTTCTGGGTTACATATGCAGAATGTGCAGTTTTTGTTACATAGGTACACACGTGCCTTTTTTTTTTTTTTAAGACGGAGTCTCACTCTGCTGCCTGGGCTGGAGTGCAGTGGTATGATCTCTGCTCACTGCAACCTCCACCTCCTGGGTTCAAGCAATTCTTCTGCCTCAGCTTCCCAAATAGCTGGGACTACAGGCCTATGCCACCACACCCAGCTAACTTCGTATTTTTAGTAGAGATGGGGTTTCACCATGTTGGCCAGGCTGTTCTCAAATTCATGACCTCAGGTGATCTGCCTGCTTCAGCCTAATTTTTAAGAAATCCTTTAAGTAACTCTTTAAGCACACTGTTTCCCATAAAATAGGAAATGTTGGGTTTGTAAGAAATGTGTCTATATGACATTACATCTGTGGCTTTCAAAATAAGGATTCTTAATGAGAGTTTCCCATTGTGTAGACTTTTATTTTAAAACTAAACTACCTTAGTATGATCCCTTGATCTGGTCTTTAACTTATCCTTTCCAGAATTTTTAATAAATACTAATGCACGGTTTTTTTTTAAATTAAGTTTTCCATGTCTTTATAGAACACAGGTTCTTTGGTCTGCATTATTAATAAACTTCTTTATGTTCAGAAATGGGTAGAAAACGTTAGATTTTGCTCCATATCATGTTTCTAATAACATTACAACTTGACGTAAATCTTTGTTTAGAACTGTATTACGTCAAGTTGAAATGCTTCAAAATCAATATAATCACAAAGGTATATCACTAATGAACTTTCACTGTGATGTCTGTACATTCTTGAAAAGAAGACTTTATTATTTTGATACATTAGATATTTTGTACATCATAATTTTATTTATGTATCCTATTCATTTGAGGTATACATGTCATGATATTTTTATAAAATATTATATTCCCTTAGGTATGTTAATTAGCTCAAAGTTTTATGGTAATATTTAAACACTCATTTAATTGTGTTATTTTATTATCATGCATAGGACATAAATAATTTTAATAGTTATTAAAACATTTAATAAAATGCAACAAACCTCCACATCTATAATTTAGAGGTTTTGGGAAACCAGTAGTATGTGGAATTATTTACACTTGTGCTATCAATTATGAACCTTCTTTATTTAGCTCTGAACACTGGAGTCAGCAGATGATGGCATGACCCACAGAGCCTGCGGCAGGCCCATTTACCTCCTCCATGTAGACAAATGATTAAAGGCTTCATCAGTCTTTTAAGGAGCTGCAGAGAAAAGTTTCAAAATCATGGTCATTCATGCATAAAGAAACAGAATATTTTCAGCATATATTTCAATTTTGCAGAGAATATTAATGTGACAATAAAGAAGAGATTTAAATTGCAGTAAAATGAAGTTATTTCTGGTATTTTAAAATTGAAGTCTATGGTGGCTGTAGGGTTTTATATTTTTTTCATGGTTATGACTAGTATTGTCTCATCACTTGGAACAGAAATTGGTGTATGGGAAAAGCATATGGGGAAGGTAGTAGGGTAATGGATTTGAAGGAGATGGGAACAGATGTTAAAGAGAGATTTCCCCTAGGGTTCCATTATATACAATAGTTCCAGTTGTCCCAATCTGTCTACTTCACATAATTTATCTTCACATTTTTTTGGAAACCAGCCTCATGGCACCCCTTCCAGGAAGCCTTCCACTACCTTCAGGACTGGGTTACGGGGTTTGTAATTACGTAAAACCATAAATATTTTATTTTTCCTCTATCATCCATACCTTATCAAACTCAAAATAGTATAATTGCTTGCTTTCTAGATGTATGCTTCCTTAGGCAAAAATTGTATCCTATTCACCAGTGATAAATCTATAGCTATTGTATAATAATTGTTCAATAAATGAATGCTTCTCATTCAGCCTGGGAGAACTGACTGGACTGTGTGTACTGGGTTGCAGTATGTTTGGTTTTAAGTAGGGGTAGCATTGGGGAAAAAGACAATGTGTTTGAGGATTGAAAGATAGGACGTTTGAAAAGGAATTCTTCCTATTGGTGCTTTTGTATTTAGAGTAGCAGAAAGTATTTTTGACAAGAAATCAGAATTTCTGAGTTCTGATTCTTAGTGGCATCTGCACCTGTTTAATGTCGGACAAGCCTGCTAACTTCTCTGGTCATCAGTTTCTGCACTTGTAAAAAGAAGGATCTTGACTATTTCCGGGGTTTCTTTGAGCACCTATATATAGATTATTATTACATCAAAAGGAAATTGATATCAATGACAGGACTGGCTTCTAATCTGAGTGAGCCTCCTCTGGAATTGAGAGTGAGTATTGCCTCATTTTGTCAAATGTCAGTTTAAAAAAACCTTGAAGCAGAAAACATTGAGGACCTTCCTGATTTGTGGCCTAAGGAATGTTTCTCATTCCTTATCATTTTCAGAGATTCTGAAGTGGAAATTATGATTGGGTTGCTCCTGAAGCAAAGATCTAAAGACTTCAGGAAGGGGAAGTTTCAATATAAACTGAATTTCAGACTAAGCAGAAATGGGGTTATTTACTGTAGATGAACTACACTGGATAAGGAGAGGTGAATTAGGCATAATTGCTACTGTAACAGAGAGATCAGATAATATAATAAGTTAAAGAACAAATACATGATTTTCTTTCTTTCACATTTGTCCAAGATTGGTATCTTCCACCCAGTCATTCAGGGACTCGGGTTATTTTCAAGTCATTGCTCTATTCTAGGGTCTGTTGTGATCCGTTCGGTTAAAGCTGGGTTGCTGCAAATTCATGGTTTCAGTAGAGACATGGATAGGAGATTCTTGAGGGAGAGATGAGTGCAGAGAAACACATGTGCAATGTTTTAAGGTTTAAGTGTGAAAATAACATATATCCTTCTGGATATGGTTCATACTTAGAAGCAAGGGGAATTGGGAAATGTGATCTCAGCTATGTTTTCAGGAAAAAGGGTAGAATAGATTTTGATGGATAGCTTGAAATCTCTACTGATTTTATGACTTTCAGTAGAAAAAGTGGTCAAATGCATTCAGAATGCAATTTAAATCATCATTGCACTTTTGACTCATTATGTTATAAATACATGTAGGTCAATAACTAAATATATTTATAGAACATCCATACAGTACAATGCTATGTAGTCCTTAAAATACTTTTGTAAAAGAGTTGCTAATGGAATGGAAATCAGTACATGGTATGTAGTTGACTTTAGCAAGTCATGGAAAAAGTTAAGAAATAATGAGTTTTTGTAAAAAATATCATTTGGATAAGTATAGCAAAGAGATGAGAGAGACAAAGTTTAAAATGTTACTGTTTGTTGTCTTCAGTGGTAGAATATAATTGATATTTTGTTTCTGTGTTTTTCTATTTATATATCCATATTTAAAAATGTTTCTCCATTAGACATGTATTTAGGCAATAAGCAAAAATCAATAAACATTTATATTAACAAATAAGATGTTTATAATGATCCAGAAGAAGTGAAATTTATCTACACTCAACTTCAGCTACTGATTCTGGTAGAGTTAGTAATCTCTTTGGTCAGAAGCAGCCAGATAGACTTGCGGTCTCCCAAAGAAAATATGCCAGAAAACTTGGCATATAGAAATAAATGGTAATTGTACCTTATGGTCCTCTTGAGCTGTTCTAATAGTAAAGCAAATGCATATTGTAGTGCATTTGCACAAAGTCTTATGAGAAAGCCCATAAAAAGACATAAATGTCTTGCTTCCCATAATCAGAAAAGCAAAATGTCTGAAATGAATGCACCTTTTAAAAGATACAACTCCCCACTTTAATCCTAATGACTCAGTTGGTTAAAAAATTTAACCACCTATTATTTATTTGCCCTGAGTTTGGGTTCCAGATTACTTTTGATCACAACCAAATTAAATAAGAAAACAAACTTTTAATCATAAGCAATGTTGTCTTCCCCTGATAATGG